CGATAATTGCTTCCCAAGTAAGCGATGCAAATCCACCCACCCACCCGGCTCTGCTCCTCTGCGGGGACCCAGGCATCCAGCCCAGGAGGTGGAGGATACCTGAGTTTGGGAGACTTGAAGCTGTCACGTGTCCCCCGTTAGGTGGGCATTAATTGGTGAAGCTGGGCTCTGCTGCCTTGGGGCTGAGATAGGGGTAAGGGGAGGAGAGGCTGAGCCAGGGACCCCACTGGCTCTGCATTTCTGTCCTCTCAGTCCTTGGAGAAGAGACCTATGTACCAATTTCCCTGTAGGTAGAAGGAAGACGTGTGGAAGACGCAGACCAGCAACATCCGAAGCAAAGAGATGTTATGAAACAAATAAATGAACTCGTGGCCTAGCCCTCCTGGTTCTTCAGTTTTGGAAGAGAGGTGGGAATGGGACCTGGGGTGGGGAAGCAGACAGCCTCCTCCATCTGTAAGTCCCCCACCCACCAGGCTGGAGAAGGACATGGAGGGTTAAGTCCTGACAGAAGTGGAGCTAAGCTGTGAGACGAGGTGTCTGGAGGATTGATCAAGCTTTGAGACTTCTGAGCTTGTGCCAAGGATGTGTCCTTGGGATGCAGTGGGCCTTGCTCACTTCATACATCAGGAACCCCTCTCCGCTTCTCTAAGGCAGTGTACTTTTTAAGGACCTATTAATAACCCTTTCTTTTTTTTAATATATATTTTTTTCAGTTATTGATGGACGTTTATTTTATTTTATGTGGTGCTGAGAATCGAACCCAGTGCCTCACACATGCTAGGCCAGAGCTTTACCACGGAGCCACAACCCCAGCCAATACCTTTCTTACTGTCTTCTCTTCCTATATCTTTCTTTTTTTTTTTTTTTTTTGGTTTTGGTACTGGGGATTGGACGAGAGCTTTGTGCATGCTAAGCACACACTCTGCCACCGAGCTACACCCCAGTCCTCCTTTTGACATCTTTACCTCAAGCTCTTCCCTTCTCTGGCCCCTTCAGCCCACCTCTTGCTGACCTTGGAGACCTGAAAAATACTTTCCTTGCAATCCTGAACTTCCACCCCCAAACCTCGCTTACGCAGGTCACTGTCTTTGTTGAACTCTTCAGGGATGAGTAGCCCCATCTTGTCCTATGTGCTTTGGTATCTGGTATGGCGTTATGGCCCAGATCTTGGGTACTTAGTTCGGTATCTGCCTGAGACCCTGGCTGTGGTAATAATAGCAATGAACCTTGATCAAGCTTTGAGACTTCTGAGCCTGTGCCAAATTCTGCTTCAGGGAGCACAGATTCTGTGCTAGGCATTGTTGGTTTTTCCCCCTGGTTCTGGGGATTGAGCCCAGGGGTGCTCTACCACTGAGCTATATGCCCAGTCCTTTTTTATTTTGAAATGGTCTTGCTAAGTTGTTGCAGCTGATCTGAAACTTGCAATCCTCTTGCCTCAGCCTTCTGAGTAGCTGGGATCACAGTTGTGTGCCACCATGCCACCATGCCTGGCTGTGCTAGGCAAAGCGTTAAGTACCTTACGTAATTGAGTCATTTCATCATCATTACAGAAGATACACTTTACAAACATTATCCCATTACATAGCTGAAATAACTGAGGCCCAGAGGAATTAAGTAACTTGCCCAAGGTCACCCCTAGGAAGTGGCAGGGCTGGGATACAGATACAGGCGGCCTGGTTTCACAGCCCGTTCTTTTTCCTCTTCAATGCTCGTTTAAGGTTTGTTGGGCTGAGAGAGGGTCCAGGGTAGTGGAGTTGGGGAAGGTGGCTACCCTGGAAATTAAATATCAGAACTCCCTTCAGGGTTCCCCAGGGAGCTGACCAGGACGACACCTGGTCGTCCAGGGAGGGGAAAACATGGCTTCACTTTCTCCAGTATCCAATTTCTGTTTTCTGCAAGCAGAGGTCCTGCTGCTAGGCCTTCTCCACTGGAGAAGCATGGAGGCAGGAGAAGGGCTGAACGACCTGTCTAGAAGCCGGAGCTGGGAGTCAGAGCTAGGACCTCCAGAAGCCGATAGATGGCGCTCGTGGCCCAACACAGCCCCAGTAGCCCGAGAAACTGAAGGGAAACCGTGAGCGTGTTAACCCCTTCCCCACTGGGCTCAGGGCTGAAAAGCAGACTAGGGAGCCCTTTCCAGCCCAGGTGATCCAACTCTGCAGCTTCTTTCCCAGGTCACAGCCTAAGCCTGTTTCTGCTTCTGCCCTGAAGGTCCTATGCTTCCCAGAGGGCCAGGAGATTAAGAAATGGATAAGGTTGGGTGGAGGGCCCGCCTAAGCCCATGTTTCATCTTTTGGGCTCTCTCTGTTGAAAGTTTCTGGGTCTCTGCTTCTAAGCACCTTCACTTTAGGAGGCTTCCTCACCCCGACCTTCCCTGAGAGACCCACCAGGTGGAAGAGAAGCATCAGGGGTTAGAGATAGAAAGGGCCCCCAGATCCCTTTGGGGTCAACTGTGGTAACTCCCTGTGGACTGCTTAAGCCTTGTCTTTTTCTGGGGAGGCCCTGGGGATTGAATTCTGGGGCACTCAACCATTGAGACAAATCTCCAGCCCTATTTTGTATTTTATTTAGAGACAGGGTCTCACTGAGTTGCTTAGCGCATCACTGTTGCTGAGGCTGGCTTTGAACTCTCAAGTCTCCTGTCTCAGCCTCCTGAGCCACTGGGATTATATGTGTGTGCCACCGCGCCAGGTGTCTCAGCCTCTCTTTATATCTGGACTCCCTATCTCTGAGTTTCCTGGGGTGGATAGGCTTTAGGGATAGAAAGAGTTATCTAATTCTTCTAGGAAGTTGAAATCAGGGGAAGGGGCTCTTGGGAGTTATCTCCTTTCTTGTTACTCATTTTACTCATTATTGCCTGCCAGAGGCAGATTTGGAATGGGTAGGGGATGCCAGGATGATAAAGTGTGGAGTGTGAAGTGTGAGGCAAGCGAGTGGTAGAGGGTAGGGTGGGAAGGAGGGTGTCTAAGGGATAGTGGAGATCCTAGAATACTTTTTTAATATGTATTTTTAGATGTTGATGGGCTTATTTTATTCATTTATTTTATGTGGTGCTGAGAATTGAACCCAGTGCCTCACACACACTAGGCAAGTGCCTTAACACTGAGCCACAACCCTAGGCCCATGCTAGAATTCTTAAACAGTGAGATGACACCACAATGAAGTCCCTCCTCCCCTTATTTTTGTTCTGAAACACACAAATGCATAGATATGAGGAGACAGCAGAGCCTGTTCTAGGAGCTTCCTCTTACTTCAGTCATTCCAAAGAAAGAAGCAAAGATAGGGAGATATACACAGAAGGTGACAGAGGCGCATAGATACAAAGAGGAAGTTGAATAAGAAACTAGAGATAGTGATAAATTTACGTAGGCAGAGAGATGCAGAGACCCAGAGTGGGGAAGAATCTGGTACACATTAAGGCTCAGGAAATAATGGATTTCATGAGGTGGATGATTAATTCAGTTTCCAAAGTCTTGCAGGGGTAGGGATGGTTTCTCACCTCAATGTCAGAGGGTCACTGCTTATAGCTCCCTGAAGCTCCTGCTGTACCCATTAAGTTTTCGTCTGTTGATGGGCTTGAAAAAGGGGTAGCATCCTTGTTCACTCATTTCTTCCTGTTCTTGGGTTCACTGGTCTCCTGCCCTCTGCCCACAGGGAGACATTACTTTGGTGTTCAGAGTCCTGGTTATGCTCAGACATGTGTGCAGGGGTGGGGGTGGGAGGAATTCAGAAGATAATTAGCCTTAGGGGGTTTCTAGATTAATGAAAGTCTTATAATCAGGACACAGAAGCAAATCTGGATAGAGGACAAGAACAAAACAAGAACAGATTCGGACATTGGTACACTGTACATTGGTACAACTGCATGAGGAGGTGGGGGAATGGATTATTAAGTGCAGCTATGAGATTAGGATTGATTAGGGAAGGCTTCTGGGCAGAGTATTCAAGAGGGAAGATTTGGAAAAGGGAGATTTGATGGTTAAACTTGTATGTCCACTTTCATGGACAGGGATACCCAGACAGTTTGTAAAACATTATTTCTGTGTATGTCTGTGAGGGTATTTCTGAAAGAGGTCTGCTTTTGAATTGGTAGATTGACAAAAGATCATCTTCATCAATGTAGCTGGGCATCATCCAATCTCTTGAGGGCCCAGTGGAACAAAGGTGGAGGAAGGGCAAATTTTCTCTCTTTATGAGATGGAACCTCCATCTTCTCCTGTCATTGGAGACCTGTCTGAAGGCCTTGGCTCTCGGGCCTTCAGGTTCTGGGATTTACATCAGCAAGCTTCCCTGCAACTCCCCCATTCAGACTTGGACAGAATGAGGCCACCAGCTTTCCTGATTCTCCAGCTTACAGAAAGTTCATCAGCAGATGGTGGAACTTCCTGGCCTCTGCAGTCCTGGTACCCAATTCCAATAGTAAATCTACTCATATAGATAAAAAGATAGATAGCCTATTGGTTCTGTTTTTCTGGGGGAACCCTGACTAACATAGAAGATTATAGGGCTAGGCAGATAGCATAGCAGAAGAAGGAGAAAAGTCAAAATGGTAAATCTATAAGAAGGGCTTGTACAGTAATGGGGGACGCTTGTTGCCAAAGAGTTGTGAGGAGATGCCAGAAATGTTTTGGTACGTTTTCTATATACAGTAATGGCTCCTGGAGGGCTGAAAAGGAGAGCTCATACCTGGAGCAGCAGGGGGACTGGAAAAGGTCTTTAGCCACTGTCAATACCCTCAGATGGGTGAAGGATTGGGAATAGTTGGAGCTTCCTGTAGTTGTGAGTGAATTTTAGAGTTAGGACCTTACAGAGCCCGGCCCCTCACTTTTCAAGACTTCTTGATTCAGCCCTGATGATAGGAATAAACTACAATTCCCAGCGGCGCTTAGAATTATTTTAGCGCGCCTTCCGGGGATTTGTGTATTTCCGGCGGAAGTGGCTCAGGCTACGCCAATCGCCTCCCCTATATAGTTTAGACTACGACTCCCACTGTCCTTTTCGCCGGGCGTGGGGGGACAGGAACCGGAAACGGATGGGGAGCTGGTCCAGGTGAGGGAGCGGGAGGCCGGGAATCTTGGGCGCAGGGGCAGGCTGGGGGCTCTCAGGGCCCTCGGGGCGGAGCCGAGCGGGTGGTCCGAGTGTCGGTTCTTCCGGGCCTTCGCTCCGTCTGAAGCCTGCTCCGGCGCAGGGGCAGCCGAGCCCGGGGAACCGCTTGGGAGGCCTGCGGGATCAAGGCTTTCCCGTCGGGCGGAGCCCGCGGGCGCAGGCAGAGGTTTTGTCTGGTGCTGCTGTCGTCGGCCTCCTCGGAACCAGAAAGAGGGGTGAAATAGCCTTTTTGAGTCCATGCTCTAATTTTTTGGTTTAAGGGTTTGCTTATTTTCCCTATGGATTCCTGCAGTGCTTGCAAGGGGCAGGGTGGTGGCTCGTGTCTTGGACTTCTAATAAACTTCCTCGACTTGATTCCAATCTGAAGTCTAGCGTTGGTGGCCACACTCATCTCAGAGTCACACTCCGCTGCCTTTGCACTTAATGTAATTTGATATGGACTAAAAAAAGGCTATTTCACCTCTCTTTCTGGTTCTGAGGAGGCCAACACCACCACCAGACAAAACCTCCGCCTGCGCCCATGAGAAAGCCTTGATCCCGCAGGCCTATTTTATAAAGCATCTACATTTCTTACGCCTTTGGTTCTTGGAGACTTTAGGTAGCATTATCAAATCCTTCCTTTGGGCTCCTGTAATGTTCTGTTCAGGATGTTAAAGCTCAAGTTATACTGGCTTACTGTTAGTTGTTTCTCTGTCCTCTCACAGTAGTTTATATCTTACTGAAAGCCTGAATTTCATTTGAATTTCTTCCCCACCAAGAGAGCCATAGTGCCTGTCACATAAAAGATTCAAATATAGGGAAAAAATTAACAGCTGGTAATAGATTGATGGCATATGTGATTTTCATAGAGGAGAGTTAAATGCCTTGCTCAAGAGCACATTCTTAAAAATGAAACCAGGACTAGAAGTCAAGACAGTTGACTTCTACCCTGTCTTCCTATCAGATCAGGCATTGAAACTCTGGAACACTGAAAATAAGGGCTTGTCACTTTTGCATACCCCCATTCTTGCTGTCTTCAGCTCAGATCTCTAAATGCAAAGGTCTCTAGATCCAGCTTACACTTCAGAGACATCCTAGAATTAGAGCAGTTATCCCTTAATGTTGCAAAGCATGGTAACCTGAATCATTTGCACTTATCACACCTTTTCACCTTTCATATGAGCCACATGGACTGATCAGTTAAAGACTTCTGTGATCAGTCTTGAAAACTTCTTAAGTTGGGCCTCTGAATTTTTTTCTTCTTTTTCCACTTTTCCTAGGCTAGGATCAGAACACAATAACTTGATCTGTCAACCTATTGTGTCAATCTTGAAACAACAACCTCATCTGGGGAAGAGGTTGTACTTGTCTGGAGATTGAAAAGGAGTAGTCCCTGCCCTGTGGGAGGCCCACATGTGATGGAAACACACCCAGAGCCTGGAAAACTGTGAGAAGCAAGCAGAGTGCCAAGTAAGCAACTGAGCTTTGAATGAACTGATGATAAAGAAGCAGAGGAGAGTTGGTTAGCACAGGTTCCCCGGCGATGGGCTTGCCTAGCATGTGCAAGGCCCTGGGTTCAGTTCCTAAACACCACAAAAACGAAAGTAAAACACACATACACACACATACATATACCTTTTTTTTTTTTTGTACTGGGGATTGATCTCAGGGGCACTTGATCACTGAGCCACATCCCCAGCCCTATTTTGTATTTTTTTTAGAGACAGGGTCTCATTGAGTTGCTTAGTGCCTTGCCATTGCTGAGGCTGGCTTTGAGCTTATGATCCTCCTGCCTCAGCCTCCTGAGCCACTGGGATTACAGACATGTGTCACTGCACCCGACCATATACATTTTTTAAAAAGGCTACAGATGTCGTTCAGTACTTGAGTGCTTGCTAACATGCTCAAGGCCTGGGTTTGACCCCTAGCATATGTGTGTGTGTGTGTGTACATACACTCATAAAATAATGGTTCTTTGGTAGAAGGTATTTTTTATTCTTTTTAGTTGTACATGACAGTAGAATGTATTTTGACATGTTATACATACATGGAGTACAACTGATAGAAGGTATTTTTAAACAAGATTGGTAAAGTAAGGATGGCCAGCACTGAACAGGTGTTTGTTGAGTACTTATAAGGACCAGGACCTTGAATTATGGAGGGAAATTGAACAGGGCCTGGCCTATTACCTACCGAAGTCTAATTGGGGAGGCAAGATGTGAATTTGTGAAGACTCCACTAAGCATGGTGACATGCCTTCACTAACCATCAGAATCACCTTGTTTAAAATGCAGATACTAAGGCCTCACAGCCTCCCTTCTTGTGTGTGGGGTTGGGAATCTATCAAAGGGTGGTTTGAGCTTCATTTTGGAGGCTGGGTATCATTTGGATGAGTGGAAGGGTGGGAAAGTCATAATCCAAGTTGACTGGATGGCTGTTGAATGATGTCTGGTTAACTTAAGGAATCTATTTGGTTGGGATTTTAGTAATGGCATGTGCACGATTTTGGTAGTTTTGGTAGGGAAGCCATTTTGAAATTGTAAGTGGAATGGTCAGTTTGGAACAGTGGGTTTGGATAGGAATGCTGGGAAAGAATGGCTTTGCAATTAACTCCCTTTTCTTCCCTCTTTCTCCCATTCCTCTGCTCACCTATATATAACATCTCATTTCATCCTTATAACAGCACTATGAAGTGGGTATTATTATTCTTAGTATTTGGATGAAGAGACTTGAGGCCCTGACCACGGTTGCATTGCTTGCAAGGCTGTTCTGAGTCTGGTAATCATCCTACTCACCACTGAGGAATCTTGAATGTGTGAAAGAAATTGGGCTTGGGCTAAGGGCTTGTAGAATTAGTGGGGGGGCTGATAAAACCATCTAAGGCAAGATGGGAGTGGGTGGTTGAGAGCATAGTGTGGGTTCAAATCCCAGCTTCATTACTTTCTAACTGTGTGACCCTGGGCAATTGCTTGATCTTGCTAAGCCTCAGTCTCCTCGCTTGTAACATGGGAGCAATAATACCCACCTCATGGGGTTGTTATGAAGATCAATGAAGTGTACGTGGCTTAGAGCAATTGCTCACCACCTGGAAGCTATTGTAATTAGCCTTCGCAGATCTCTGGGCTGTGGCTGTGCACCTGCATCTCATTCATCAGCACAGTGGTTTCCAGGACACAGCCATCCTGACTGGACTTGTTTTAAGGATGACATTGTGCAGAGAGGATGCCACCAGTAAATGTGTATTGAAACCTACTGTATGCTCAGCATGGCCTAGGAACTAGTGACTCAGACTCATGCCTAATGGAAGGAGGTTTGGAGTGGGGGATGGTTGGTGGTTTTGGCTCATTTTCTCTGGGTGATGAATAAAGAGGAAGGAAATTAAAAGTGGGGAGGAGAAGAGCCTTCATTATCAAGAACTGAGGTGAGCTTGGGCCTACTGGACAATTGATGGATTACTAACATGATTTCCTAGGTCTCTTCTGAGCCCAGGAAAATGGTAGTAGGGGCCCTACCCAGCATAGATTTCTTCCACTCTGGGCTGAGGGCTGATGAGACCTCTGTCCTCCTCTATTCCAGGTGACAGCAGCATGGCTGTACCCCAGGCTTTCCCACTGGGGCCCCTCCACGAGCCTGTAGGTGCCCTGATGGAGCCCCAGCTATGTCCTCAAAGCTTGGCTGAGGGCTTCCTGCAGGAGGAGCTTCGGCTTAATGCTGAGCTAAGGCAACTGCAGTTTTCAGAGCCTGTGGGCATCATCTACAATCCAGTGGATTACGCATGGGAGCCACATCGCACCTACGTGACTCGTTACTGCCAGGGCCCCAAGGAAGTGCTCTTCCTCGGCATGAACCCGGGACCTTTTGGCATGGCTCAGACTGGGGTAAAGGGCATGGTTTCCCCTGGTGGGTGGCGTGGGAGGCACCAAGGTGGATGCTTGGCTGGGTGTGCTATGGAGGAGGAGCATGTACAGGGCTGTGGACGTGATTGGATCCTCCCCATACACACACTGGCTCCTGTAGTCTCAGACACTCTCTTGGCCTCTCTGCCCGTAGTTAACCAAACACATTAATGGTAGTTCCGTTTCCCCTGTGAGTTGTCCACTAATTGCATCTGAGAGCTCTTCCTTCCGCCATCCCCCATCTTTACCTTCCCTTCCCGGATCTCCCCTGTCCCTAGAGTGGTTGGGGTCAGGAGGGGGACTGCTGGGTCCTCAGGGAGGACTGATTGGCAGGGTGGGTATGTAAGAGAAGCAGGCATTTGGGCAGCCTGGTTCTGTTTCTCAGCTGAGGAGAGATTCAGAATAGCTAGGCTCCAGGGCCCATCTGCTTTCCTTTCAGGGCTCAGGATGAGTGACTGCCTTTCAGAGGGGGTGCTTGGCAGGTGGGGGAGGGGAAGAGGCCTCAGGGCAGGAGGCTCAATCGCTTTTATTGACCCCAACTGGGTGGTGAAAGGTGATCAATGATGATCGATGGAAATGACAGCCTGAGGCTTGGGGCTGGAGAGAGCATCCAGAGAGCGGTGGTCATCCCTGTCCTTTGCCTCCTTTAACCTTGGTGGCCTTTCTTTCTCAGGTCACCTGTCTGTCCCTGTAGTAACCATCAAGCCCTCAATAGGCTCAGATGTCCCTTGTTGGGGAAGAGGCAAACAAATAGGTTTTCTGGATTACAGTCCACAATGAAAAAAATGGAGAAAGAAGGATAGGATCAAAGCGCAGAGCCAGGAGTCCTTGTCTCAGACCTTTGGATTAAGTTGTGTGTGGGGAGTACCCAGACTGGATCCTCCTGAAAGGTGGAAAGGGTTCGTTTGGTCCAGAGCCCAGGCATCAGATCTCTAGTTGAAGCCCTCATGTCTCTCTCCTTCCCTACAGGTGCCCTTTGGGGAAGTAAGCATGGTTCGAGACTGGTTGGGCATTGGGGGGTCTGTGTCATCTCCTCCCCAGGAGCATCCCAAGCGACCAGTGCTGGGACTGGAGTGCCCACAGACAGAGGTGAGCGGTGCCCGATTCTGGGGCTTTTTCCGGAACCTCTGTGGACAGCCTGAAGTCTTCTTCCGTCACTGCTTTGTCCACAATCTGTGTCCTCTGCTCTTCCTGGCTCCCAGTGGGCGCAACCTCACCCCTGCTGAGCTGCCTGCAAAGCAGAGAGAACAGCTTCTTGGGATTTGCGACGCAGCCCTCTGCCGGCAGGTGCAGCTGCTGGGGGTGCGGCTGGTAGTAGGAGTGGGGCGACTGGCAGAGCAGCGGGCACGACGGGCCCTGGCAGGTCTGATGCCAGAGGTCCAGGTGGAGGGGCTCCTGCATCCTTCTCCCCGGAGCCCACAGGCCAACAAGGGCTGGGAGGTGGTAGCCAAGGAAAGGCTCAATGAGTTGGGATTGCTGCCTCTGCTAACAAAATGAGTGTCCCTAGGGCCTGGCCTAGGACAGTCAAGGCCCCCAAGTCATTCTTGCACAGGCAGATGACTACACACCGCCTGGACTGGTGCAACAGGGCCTTCCTGGGCTTTCTGTTGCCAGGAAACATGTTCTTTGATCTGTTGAACTGTCCCCCAGCCTGCAGAGGCAGTCTCTAATTACCAGGGTGAGTAGTTACTCAACTCCTGTTCACCCTCCTGCTTCCTGTGTCCTTGACTGTCCTTTGAGCATTGCCCCTTTTGTCTTACAGTGTTGGCTCCACAGAATCAGCAGAAGGTGGGCTTCTTGCATACTGCTCTACCTCATTATTTCCTTGGGAGTCCCTATGCAGCTAAGTATCCTAGACAGGAACTTCAAAAGGTCAAATTTCCTATTTCAGAGAAAAGACTTTTAAAAAAGTCTTTAATTTTTTACTTTTTGTTGACATGTATTAGTTGTACATATTAATGGGATGCAATGTGATATGTATACATGCATACAGCATGAGTTGACATCCCTTTACCTCCACCACCTCTTTCCCAGCTAGAGGAAAAATCTTGCCAGGATCCTTATCCATCCTCATAGAATAGCTTCTGCCAGCTGATTCCTTTCTCATAGGGATCAGGACAAAATACGGAACATGATGTTCAGAGTGAATTCTAGTGGGGCCCAGTGTTACACACCTATAATCTCAGCAACTTGGGAGGCCAAGGCAGGAGGATCACAAGTTCAAGGCCAGCCTTGACAACTTAGCAAGACTCTGTCTCAAAAAATAGAAAGAGGTAGGGATGCAGCTCAGTAATAGAGTGCCACTGGGTTCAGTCCCTAGTAATACTCACACACACTCACACCCACACAAACACGTAAATGAACATTTTATGGGAGACTGAGGCTAAATCAGAGGGAGAATTCAGTGTGGCAGTGTAGAAAAGTCAGAAAACCTGGATTTTTATCCTAGCTTTGAGACTCATAAACTTTATTCTTTTTATGTTATTTTTATATTCCTAGTATTCTTTTTGTGAGACTTGTGAACTCTGATGGAAAAATGGATTAACCTCTCTAAGTCTCAGGATCCTCATCTGTAAATGGAGATACCTCCCTCACGGGGTTGTTTGAGGATTAACTGAGAAAACACTTGAAGTGCCTTGTGATGGCCTGGCACTCGGGTGCTCACTACATAGCTTTCTTGCTTTCTGTCTGGGTTGGGCAGTCATTGCACTACAGAGGAAACCCCTTTCCACTTTGAAAGCCTGGCTGGGGTCGGGAAGTCTTGCCTACCAGAAATGGATCATGACTTTATGAAAACCCAACCTGCCATTCTTCAATTTAAGCATTAAAAGTTCCTAAACTCTTTTGTGGTGGTACTTTTTTCCCCTCTGCATGTCAGGGGTGGGAGATCTGTTGTTGAGATTTTTTTTTCTGTACATACCTCTTCACTGTTTGCAAAAGGTTTTCTTGGGTAGCTGGGGGAGGGATGTAACAGATTTCTAAATGCTTCAGCAAAGCTGCAGGGTGGGGGTAGTGGCTTGTCTAGTAGTTTTTCTGATACTTGGGGTACATGGGAAACAGGGATGGGGTGGCCTGGCATCTGACTCATTTCTTTTTGTCTGCTGAATGGCTGGCTGGTTGGGTGCCCCTTTTTTAAGAACTGGGAAAGTGAACCAAGTTGGAAGCAAAACATGCCTTGATATCATCTTATTGAGGAACACATGGTTTACTCCTGATTTCTTGGGACACAGGTCATCTCCAGTTATTTCAAAATTAAGATCTTTAGAATAAATTATCCTCCCCTCTTAGCATAGAAAGGAATTTGACCTGCCTCTGTCCTCAGTTCCTGAGAGGGAGATTTCTAAATCCCGGGAATTTCCCCAGTGATAGGTGTGTCTTTGTTATGGTGGGTCCTCCAAACCACACCTGAAATTAACAATGTTGAGATTTGACCATAGACCACACTTTGTGTTGAAATTTGATCTTGGACCATAGCTGAGTTTTATGCTAAGATTTGACTCAGGATGTAGGCTGACCATGCCAGAAAGACCAACTAACACTTGGAGGATTGGGACTTTCTTCTGGGTGATGTATCAGCCTGATCTCCAGGGAGGAGACGGTAACACAGACTGAGTGCAACCACATGGCCCTTTATTTCAATCAATTAGGCCTTTGTAAAGAAACCCTAATAAAAATGTTGAACACCAAGGTTTGTGTCATCTTCCTGGTTGGTAAAAACATGGATGTGTTGGGAAGGTGATATGTCCTGGTTCTATAGGCAAAGGACATGGATGTGTGTTTGGAATACGTCCAGATCTTGCTTATGTTTCTTTGTGTTTGGATGGTCCTGATTTGCATTCTTTTCTGCAGTGTTGGGGAGGGAACCCAGGGCCTTATGCATGCTAAGCACATGCTTTACCACTGAGCCGTACCCCCAGCCTCTGATTTGTATTCTTTATAATAATAAAGAATGTACTTAAACAATTATACTGTGTTGTCCTGAGTTCTGTGTGTCTCTAGCCAATTATTGAACCTGAAGGGTTGTGGGAACCCTTGTATTTTTAGCCAGTTGGTTAGAAGTGTTGGTGGCCTGGGGACCCCCAAACTTGGGAATTGCATCTGAAGTGAAGATAGTTTTGTTGGGGACTGTGCCCTTAAACCTTTAGAGTATGTGTAGACCCCAGATAGCATCATAATTGCCTTACAGCATTGCACTGTCACATGCCTTAGTCCCCCTTCCTCTTTCTGCCTTGGTGCTATGGTACTAAGTTGTGGGTGCTCTGTGTTGCGAGTCACTGAATTAGGCATTGTGCAATCATTGCAGAGAAAGAAGCTGTTTTGTATTATATATTTAGCTGAGAAAATCAGAGAAAGCTCTCTGGAGGAGGTGGAATTTCAGGTGACCTTAGAGATGGGAAATTTGAGAGCTTAGTTAACAGCATCATTATGTTCAAAGGGTGGTAAGTAGATTAGTGTTGGCTTGGCCTACTTGGGAGAAAAAAACTGAAGAAGTAAGTTGGGGCCAGTTTATGAAGGGTTTTGAGTGCTAGAATAATCTAAGAATTTGCAGTCCAGTGGGGGAAGTCAGATGCACAGAACACCCCCACTGAAAACACCCAGCTATAGGTGGACACCCACAGATGAAGATGAAGGATGTGTTAGTCACCTTAAGAAAGGGGTCTTTTTGTTTATTCATGATGCGGGGGATTGAACCCAGGGCCTTACACATGCCAGGCAAACACTCTACCACTCTACCTACATCCCAGCACAAAAAAGGCTCAATTTCAGTCTGTGGTCACTTGGCCCTGTTGCTTTGGACCTATAGTGGCAATGGTACATCATGGCAGGAGTGTGGGGCAGAAGAGCCTTCCAGTAGCTGGGAAGCCAGGAGAGGAAGGGTGTAGGGCAGCAATATTTTCTTTAAGGACACACCTCCAGCGACCTAGCTTCCTCTCACTAGGCTCCACCTCTTATTAAAGTTTCTGCCACCTCCCAGTAATGCTATAGGTTGGTGACCACGTCTTCAATAGATGGGTCTTTGGGGACACTCAAGATCCAAACCATAGCAAAGAAGCAGGAGGCACAGTAGGTACAGTGGGGCAAGAAATGGAGAGAGAGAGCATTAGTGTGTAGGGAGGACATCCTAGGGGCACAGCAGATTCTGGGTTAAAGCCCAGACTCGGGGTAGAACCATGAGATGGTGGAGGCAGAGCTAGGTAGTGCGCAGAGGTACTTGGATGGTAGATACCAGGATGATGTCTTGAAGGTCGGGTGTGAAACAGTCACTGTCTGATCTGGCTTCAAGTGGGGCTGTGCCCTCAATTCCTGGGGTATAATAACTTGTCAGGGAGATGATGATTAGGGTCCTGGGTCTGCCATTTCCCAAGTGCACTGTATTAGAATAGTCTGCTAGGGCTGCCATAACAGGAATACCGCATAGAGCATGGCTTAAACAACAGACTTATCTTGTCAATTACGGAGACCAGAAGTCCCAAATCAAGGTGTTGGCAGGTTGGATTTCTACTGAGGCCTCTCGTGTTTATGTTTTGTTTTATTTTATTACTGGGGTGGTGGGGGGTTGAACAGGGGTGCTCTACCACTGAACTACATCCCTAGCTTTTTTTTATTTTGAGGCAGGGTCTTGCTGAGTTGCCCAGGCTGGCCTTGAACTTGCGATCCTCCTGCTGAGGCCTTTCTCCTTTGATTGCAGAGGAGGTGTCTTCACCTAGTCTTCACATGACTTTTCTTCAGGTGTATCTCCTTGGTGTCCCTCTCCCTTCTCAAAAGGACACTAGTTGTATTGGATAAGGGCCCCAGCCTATTGTCTCATTTAACCCTAAGTATCTCTATGGGGCTCTGTCTTCAAATACAAAGTCATTAGGGCTTAATATCTGAATTTTTGTGGGACACAATTAGTCTATAACAGATACTCAAAGTCATATCTTTTTGTTGTTGTTCCTCACCAATGTTAACCTCAAATAGGAAAGGACACTTGGGAATGCCCCCCTTTTCTAGTCTGCAGGGTTGGAAGATAGTCTGGCAGCTTAGCTAGTTTACCAGACTTAATGTCACCAGATTTTCTCTTACCTCCCAGTTTATTCTTGAGTAGTTTCTTTAGTGCAAATGGGAATATCCTAGGGGAAGAAAGCTCACTGTTTTTTCTTGAGCCAAAGGAAATAGAGGCTTCTGCAGCTACTTGACAGTATTCTGAGAAGTCCAAAATCAAATTGAAATAATTTGGGTCATCTAGAATTTTGTAGTTCAGTACAGTAGCCACTAGCCATGTGTGGCCATTTTAACTCAGGCTAACTAAAATTAAGTAGAATAAATACAGTTTTTTTTAGTTCACTAGCCCTATTTCAAGTGTTCAGTAGCCACACATGACTAATAGCTACAGATGGAATAACACAGTTATGTAACATTTCTGTTATTGAAAAAATTCTTTAGGACACCATTGATCTAAGTATCAGTGGCTTACAACCCTCCCTGTGAATCAGAATTAACCTGTGGAGGTTTAGAAAATTCAGTGTTTCAGTTCCACTTCAAGAAATTTTGATTCAGGAGACCTGACATGCATCTGGGTATGTCTTTAACAGAATCTCTGTGCTCCTGTTATGCAACCAAGATTTATTCTTCAAGGTCCTCTGAAGGCCATGAAGGTAAGGAGATGGTCTCTTATTTTCCTGTGTAACCCTATACCTGGCACAAAGTAGATGTCCAGGTCAACTAGGCCAGTAATGCATAAATCTAGCGTGGGAGAACTACCCCGCATGGCCACCCAGAAACTTGAGTTTGTCTAGAGTTTGCTGCTTTCATCCTGTGATGGTGATTCAGGTTCTGGTTTAGAAGAAGGCTGGAAATTTAAAAGTCCCACCTTTTAAAATACACACACACCTGGCACAGTGGCACATGCCTGTAATCCAAGTGACTAAAGAGGCTGAGGCAGGGGGATCACAAGTTCGAAGCCAGTCTCAGCAATTTAGTGAGAACCTTTCTCAAAATTAAAAAGGGCTGAGGATGTGGCTCAGTGATAAAGCACTCCTAGGGTCAATCCCCAGTATCTAAAAATAAAATAAAGCAAAATACACACATCCTCGTACTCAAACTCAACTTGGTAGAGACAAGGCTGTGTTTGGGGACGCTTTTGAGACTCTGAGGGGTAGAGTGTCTGGGGAAGAGAGACTCTCACCAAGTTTCCCACTTACTTCAACAGGATGGCTTAAAGGACGATTGGGTCTTGAGTTCGAGCCTTGTGTGATCTCTCATTTTCCTTTCTCATTTCAGCAAACACTTGTTGATGTGTGCTGTGAGTCATTCCTGTGTTAGACACTGTAGGGAGTGACAGAGGTGAATTAGATAATTTTTTGCCCTCATGCTGGTCACTCTCTAATCCTGGGAGATACAAGCATATAATATTAGTATAAATCAATCTAAAAGCATGTTGTGAACACGTTATCAACACAGCACTCTGGGCACAATGAGAGAGGAGGTGTGGGTAGAGGGGTGTGTGCCTGTAGGAAGGGGCTGCCACTAGAAATTTTTTATTCCTTGCTAGATCTTACCATCTCCATGGAGTGGATATTTGAAAATGGGAACCACTATGTCAGATTTGTCTAAGAATTTTTCAGTTCCAACTACAAAGTTTTAGGAAACAGGATGAGGGGAGGGATCGAAGACCCAGAATTAGCCAGGAGCCAAGGATTGGACATGGCACTGTTGAAGATGGGGAGTAGAGCCTCCTGTCAGAACAGCTCTCTTGTTCTGTAAACTTCTGGGATGGGAAACTGCAGCAAATTGTGCCAAGGATTGTTCAGGTGCTCTATCAAAAATGACTGAAGCCTGAGCCGGGCATGGTGGAACATGCC